CGGAACGTGAGATGCGGGAGCAGCATCCGGCACTATTTTCAGAGTGAGACTTCGAGGGCGAAGTCTGTTTCTAGTGGGGGAGAATTGTAACAGCCCGAAATCTCGAAGTATTATTATTACACATTTTGGGGTGTTTTAAAGGGGGGACTCGGCGAGTTGGAGCTTGACTCGCCGAGTAGGAGCACGGATTTGGTCGCGGGTTCGCGACTGGACTCGACGAGTCCAGATATAGACTCGGCGAGTCGACGCTGTTCAGCGGAAACCCTAGCCGTTCCGTATTGGGTCGTATATAAGGGTTATTATGTCGTCATTTCACGTCTTTGGATCGATTGAGTAGAACCCCAGGCGGCTGTGGCGGCTAGGGCAAGCTTGAAGGCCATTGGTGACCTTGAAGGAATTGTTGTGTAAGGAGGAGAAGGGTTTTAGCTAAAGGAACTGCAGGGAGTTCGAGTTCTGAAGTTTGGGGACATGGAAGGTACATCATTCAGGTAATAACTCGGATTACACTCTCCTGTGATTGATGTGTATATAGATTTAGGGTTTATGGAACCCATTTGGAGTCTAGATGGATTGTTGTGTTGTTATTCAACGTTTATAACCTTGTATTAGGACCCTTAGAGGTCCAGAAGGACCCATGTTTGTATATTCGGGAAAATATGTATCTCAGGAAGCAGTTCGATCGACTGCATGGCGTGGACTCGCCGAGTCGGATGAGCAGACTCGGCGAGTAGCTTGGAGATTCACTGGGACTCGCCGAGTTTGTACTTCAGACTCGGCGAGTAGAGTCGGGGTGGCCCCGCGATTCTTCCACGAGGACCTCGTCGAGTCAAGAGGGATACTCGACGAGTAGGAAGGGAACATTCAGGAATTTGTGAGGACGACTAGACTCGCCGAGTCGCCAGGGTACTCGCCGAGTCCAGTCGAGATGGCCGTTGACCAGAGTTGACCGGTGTGATTTCTTAGGGTCAGTTAACGTGGAAGATAGAAGTATTAATAAAGAGATATATGATGTTACAGGGAGCTTGTAGCTCGGAGGATCAAGTGCAAGGGATTTCAGGAGTTGTTATCTTCCAGTGTCCGCGAGGTGAGTTTTCTCACTATACTTCACCCGGAAGGGTTTGACTGTGAGACCGGAAGGTCGTATATGATATATGTTATTTATGCTATAACTAGAAAGGTAGATGCTATGCATATTATGTATGTTTATACGGGCCGGAAGGCGATACGTTATGTGACAGGAAGGTCAGGTGTGATATGCGATATATGTGCTTAAAGTATTAGAGTAAATGTATTATGTGCTGTGCATGTTTCGGGCCGGAAGGCAGGTTGATATATGATATATGTGATTTATGTGTTAGAGTAAATGTATTATGTGTTATATATGTTTATGGGCCGGAAGGCAATTACCTTATGGGCCGGAAGGCAATTATCTTATGGGCCGGAAGGCAAATATACTATGGGCCGGAAGGCAACACGTTATGGGCCGGAAGGCGATTATCTCATGGGCCGGAAGGCATTGTGCAGTGGACCGGAAGGTCAGGGCCTGGAAAGGCGTATGTGCGTAAGGTGTATATTGGGGAACTCACTAAGCTTCGTGCTTACAGTGTTTATGTTATGTTGTTTCAGGTTTTCTCAGTAACGCGGAATGGCAACGGTTCGATTGTTCACACCGAAGAAAGAGTTGTATTTTGGAGGATCCTGGTTTTCTATTCAAATGAAAATGGAACGATGTTTTGTAATTCAAATATGAACAAGATTTTATACAAGTGTTTTAATATTAAATTGATTATTTAAATGAAAATTTTGTCTTGAAAATCACGGTGTTACATCACGTTTATGAATGGTTTGAGATCAGAGTGGAAATTCGTAGTGACCACAGTAAAAGATCATGAACAGTTTGAGCTTGTGGGAACATTGAGATCTAATGAAGACGAAGTGACAAAATATTTTGAGCTTGTCTCCAGTGTGGTTTCATTGGCCCTGGTTGCGAAGGGAAAAATATTGTTTAAGAACATTCTGATTTCGACTTCTCGGATTGTGATCTTACCAAAGAAGAATATGATCTGATGGTGTTAAACCCAAAAAGTTATTTAAAAAGAACTTTGGTCAATTAAAAAATAGAAAAATGTTTGGAAACTTTAGTTCTGAAAAGTCAAAAGGTGAGAGAATAAGTGCAACTAGGGGATTCAGGGTACGACTACAACTACTGCCATGGCAAGACAAAATTCCCCAAAAAGTGTATGCTTAGAAGGATGAGAAAAAAGAAGGAATAAGAGAAGGATGAAGCGTACTATCTTCAAAATATAAAAGAGCTTCTAAAGAAAAAGAGTGTTGTGACTGCTAATCCTACTTTAATTATGCAGGAAGATGATGATGAATTTGGACGATTTAAGTGTGGTCCATTAATTCGAAAGACGAGGAAGTTTGGAAGGCCACCCATGGTGGGTGTTTTGTTGCAAAGTCTGATGTGAAGATGTATGAAGGGGGATGTTTAATGGAGCCGAGTGGGATGCCAGAACATAGGGGATATGCAAAGGATGGCGGAAATCCCAGTGAAAGTCGTTTCACAGCTAAACCTGTTTCGGAACACGTGAAAGAATGCGAGAAAGTCATCGCTAAATTACACTCTATTCTTCAATCTCTTGATATTCCAGTTACTCGTTACGAATCTGAGTTAGATGATTTAAATTACGTTGTCTCTAATTTTAGTTATAGCTTAAAAGGAAATTATCTAAGCAATTCTAACCTAAATGATCAAATGAGCAGGGTAACAAATAAAAGTGAAGAGAGAAGGATCTGGATAGGAAATTTGGAGTTAGAGCTAACTAGGTCAAGAGATGATGTAATTTATCTTAAGAGAGACAACTAGCGCTTTTGAAACAAATAAACATTTTCTATTTAATTGCAAAACGTTTATATTTCAATATCACCCAACTGCATCTTGATTGTGAAATAGGTAAAAATATGCACAAAATGATTATACCCTTTCTCAAATTGAAAGAGGATGAAATCGATGTAGAGTGTTATAAGTGCAAATCAATTGGGTCCTCTGATGATGTTTCAGAATCTTACAAAATCGGACTTGACAAAATTGAAGCTTATATTCAGTCCAAGGAACACAAAAACATGTTAAAACAACTTTTAAATAATAAGGATAAAGAAAAATTAAATTTGATATTGTGCAAAAATTTGACTCGAGCTCAAAATTAAGTTCAGAAAATACTTTTGACACTGAAAATGTTTCTGAATTTGATGAAAGAGACATGAGTGAAATTTCTTTAGAGGATAAGATAGATTGTTCTATATTTGTAAAGAATGAACGTAAACCAAAGAAAAACCTGATTTCTGAAAATTCTGTTGAATTTGTATGTATTGCTGAAAATAAAGGTTTAGACGTTTTAAAAGCAAAAGCAACGGTTTTTCTGAAAGTAAAAACTATTCCGAACCAGGTGTTTGAAAAAAATTGGTTGAAGAAAAATCAAACATCCAAACTAACGTCCTTAGCAGATGATTATAATGCAGACAGCTGCAATGAATTCTTTTGGTCCGTACCAATTGATAACTCTGATGAAACCAAAGGTCATTTCTGAGTGGCACCAAAAATGTACTAAGTGAAACTTCTTCCGAACAGACTGACATCCCTGTCAGAAAAAAGAAGCCTAGGTCTAACATTCATAAGCCACCTGAGGAATTTATTGCTAAGAAACGATAATTGAATGCTAGATATAGGAATAATCTACAAGAAAGAAAACGTTTATGGAAGAACAAGAATTTAAATCCAAATTTCGTTAATTCACACTACTAGAAAACTGGTCTTTAATGACGCGCAAAACAATGACACGCAGTGATTTACGATACGCATTTGTGGGCATCCTAAAAATAACGTCCGTTTTTAAAAAATAATGAAAGATAGAGGTCACGCATTTTTTGGGTGCCCTAAAATTAATGTCCAATAAAAAAAATAAAAAACACGGAGGGAACCTATGTTAATATGGGTGTCGTGTAGAGATGTCGCTTTATATTTTATATAATGAAACACGCGTTTTCTTCTTTTGCAACTTGGGGGGAAATGAAAATCACAAAAGTTTGAAAGTCCGCCATTTTATCCTCTACCTTGTTTCCATCGCTGTTCTCTCTCACTGATCAATACCCAAAAAAACCCTAATATCTTCACCACTCTCTTTTCTCGCACAACTAAAATATTCACGGGTTCTTTAATTTCACTCCTAGGGTTATTTGATGGCTCTTGTTTGGTTCATTACCTATAGTGAATTGAGATTCAAAACCTTGCATATGTATTCAGCTTATCGCCCTAAGCAACTGTTATTTCATCCTTCATTCACCTTATCGCCGTTGCATTGCTACCGCCGCCAAATTTCCTCTTCCCTTCTCGCAGTTGCTAGTTATTCCTCTTCCCTTCTCGCAGTTGCTAGTTATTCCACTACCTTATCTGCTTCTACTCGTAACAAGAAAAAGCTAAACTGAAAAGATAATTTCATTATTGCTAATAGTCGTCGGGTTCTAATAGATTTTGTAGTGAAGAGGAGGACTCGATCGGATAAAAAGTTCGATGAGGAGAGCTTTCGTCAATTTGGTAACACCGAGAGTCATATTCCGGTGATGCTCGGTGAGGTATTGGAGGTTATTGATTCTTGCAAACTTCAGATTTGTCGATTGTACCCTTGGAGCCGCCGGTCATTCTTCCGTCGTATGTGAATCTGATTCCCCTTTTCTATCTTTTTTATTACATGCTTGATTTTAGAATTCATTTCTTTGTTATTTAGTCAAGGATCCTTTGATAATGTGAAGCCCTAGAATTGGGAAAAGGGTTTTCTCGATCGTACTAATGTCTTTTAGTTCTGATGCTGATGTCTTTTGGGTCTCGATTATGTTACCAGTACTTCTAACCAAGGCAGAAACTACAGTAAATCCAACGCCTTCTCATATTTTTCTTTTTCTAATATTTTGATTTTTTTTTTAAAATTTGAATCAGAAATCGGATGCTTGAGCTAGCACTGAGGGTGGGAATCAAAGCACGAGGAGGAACTGGTATGCTTGAAAAGCATTTTGAAGCTGTATGAGTAAGTTTCTTTGTTTTTCTTGAATTAAATAAGGCTGAGTTTATAAATTAACTAATTTTCTTGTGTATATATTGTTTTTTAGCACATTTCTATGTAAATCCTGCTCGTTTTCTCCAATTCTTGATTCAGAACTTGTACCAGATAGGTTTAGGTTAACTGAAGAAGAGGTCTCAAGAGTCAAACATGTTGTTTCAGAGCATCTTCAGAAAGAAACAGATGTTAAAGAGTTAGATAACAACAATGTTCATGCGGTGGTGCAGCAAGTAGTGAATATAATAGAAGCTGCAGCTGGAGAACTTGAATGCCTTTCTGTTGTTGTTGCTTCCAAGTTGCAGAAATTCTTTCTTTTTGCCAATATTGATGTTGAGGGAAGTGTGTTTTTAACAAGTTGATTGATGTTTGGTGGTGTTTGAGAAAGAGAATGGTATCTCTATTTGGGCATGCAGCTCAAGCTTATATAAATTACCTCTCACATTCATCTTCCAAGTTATGGGGTAGTCAAACAGAAGGTCAAAAGAATTCTAGTTATACCTTGAAAGATACACTTCATGTCCTGCATATTATACTTAACTATGGGGTGGAGTTAAAAGCTCCCCTTGAACCTACATTTTCAACGGTTCCTTTGTTGGAATGGCAGGTAGGTGGGACCCCTTTTGCTATTTTTATATAACAGTAACCTAACCAGTTCTATTCTAACTAGTATTTTTTTCCCTTTCTGTAGGAAGTAACTCCTCAACTATTTTTTCTCGGTTAAGCTCTCACGCTGAAGAAGATGTTAGGAAACAGCACGAGGGCATTTTGGTCATGCTGGCAAAACAATCTCCATGGTCGATAATTTATCCAATCCTCGTTGATATTAACACAAGTGAAGAGGATCATTCGATGGAGCTTACATGAATATTGGCATGTTTAGTATGTGTGCCATATTATATTTAATTTATGTGCTCTCTGACAATCTATTTGTTTGGATTTGATGATGACTAACCCAATATTAACCATTATATATGTAGAACAAGCAATATCCAAGATTAGTCCAGGATGTCCAACTCATGATTAAAGAGCTAGAAACTCCACCATGAGTTGATGATCATTAACCCAATATCCACCTCATGTAAACCTGAAACACCTCATAAAATATTGTTTCATAATGAGTACATGGGGCAAATCAAGTCATCCATTTCAAACTTCAAAACTCCACCATCTGTTGTCACACTAGGGGAAGGTTGGAGACCATTGTGTGGGAGTATGGGCAAGATAGTGTATATTTGGGTGGGGCGAACAAGTGGGGAAGATGATGATAACCTGTGGCAGATTTTTGGTGATGACTTCATTGTTAGAAAAGCTCTGGAAACAAGCTCTATTGTTCAGGTAATGTGTTAATTTGAAAAAGCTTCTAGAAACTAGTTTGCTTGTATCTTCAAGTCCCTATTGCTTGTAAATTGATATATATGAATGATTATGATGAACAGATAGTGAAAGAAAATGAAAATAAATTGGACTGAAAAAAGGATTTGATAATTCCGATTCCAGATATCGTGGTAGAAAGAAGAAGCCAAAAGTATCTTTTGATTAGGATTGAAATGCTTCAAACTTTTTTGCATCATTCTATTTTGCTTAGTGGGTGTGTTTGTTTTGCAGGTTTGGGCTGTTACAAGGGTAGTGATGGGATTGCAAATAATTTTAATGAACTTGTTCCTGATATGGGATTGTATAGAATCCATCTCTGATTTGAGTTCACCTCTTCAACGACTGAAGAATCCATCTCTTCGTTTTGATCCAACGCAGCTCCCTGTGACACACTTACCAATTCGGTTCATCTCTTTTCTTGGTAATATATATTTGCATCTTTGTTTTTTCTATTTGTTAGTACTGATCATCTATTTTATCACAAAAGTTGCATCAAAGAGAGCCTTAGTACTTGATGGATCTGATATGTGTACAACCATAAACTAATATTTACTAATTATTTATGAAAAGTTAACATGAACTTATTTCTTGTTATAGAGGTGGATTATCTTTGAATATTCAACCATACAAGGCAACTAGAGATAAAAAAGTTTCCAACTTTTTCCCTGCAATGTTGGAAGGCTACAATAGATGAAGGCATTGAACTGGTGAATTTTTAAATTTTTGTTACAATAGATGAAAGCAATAAGCATTGAGGTAAGTTTTTTAAATTCAATTCGGTAAAAAAAAACTATTTTTTCTGCCATTTGTGGAACAAATTAGAACATGGTCACATCCATTCACCCCTGTAGTGAATCTCATAGGGACAAAATGGTAAATCTGCAGGTGGTTCAATCAATGTCATTTAGTAATATTTAAAATTACAGCCTCTGTAAGTTTGACTAAAACCTTCTGATTTTGTTTACTTTTTAACTTTGTTTTTGGTTTCATTTAATAATAAAGTATCAAATATCAACAGTTATGTGGTAGTAATCCTTCAGAGGGGGTCTTTGTTAGGCTACTTCTTTCAATGTCATTAACAACAGTGGTAAGTAAAATCTTACTATTATGAAAATCTTTTGCTTCAACCTACCTTATTGACCTATAGCTGATTAAACATTAATTAAATTATGCAGGTTTTGAATTTTTTGATGGAAAAGAATAGTGTTAATGCTCTTCATAGAAAGTATGTTGGTAGTTTAGGAAATTTGGCTACTAATTTAGTTAATTATATAAAAAATGTTGAAATGTTACATTTGTCTATTATTGGAATGATTATTTAATGTATTACATTTTTCTGCTATTGGAATGATTATTTGTATGACGTTGACTTTTGTACAATTTATTGTATTTTTTGTATTATGAGAGATTAAATGCAAATTTAATTTATAAATTAAGAAATATAAAAATATATTTTTTTTAAAAAAAATTAAAATTACGATACGGAAAAATGTGTGTCGTCTTCATTTATGACATGACCTTTCTTGATTGGGGTTTCCTTGATACGCATTGCGTGTCATAAACACGCGCGTCGTAAGGTTACGACACGAAAATGCGTGTCGTCTTCCTTTATGACAGGGCCTTCCTTGATACGCATTGCGTGTCATAACCGCGCGTTGTAAATGCGCATCATAAATGCACGTCGTCTATAGACGACGCGCAAAAGCGCGTCCTCTCTCTTTATGACAGGGCCTTCCTTGACGCGCATTTGCGCGTCGTCTGAGCGTCGTAAAAGGCCTTTTTTCTAGTAGTGTCAAAAAGGTGTTCAACTCAAAAAACGAACTCTTCTCCGATTTCGAAACCAAAAGCTAAATCATTTTCAATGCCATAGTCTTCAAATCTACAAGTTTCTAAATCCAAAGCTTTACCAAAACAACCTTTTTTCAAAACAAGTGAATCCTTTGGATATGATAAAACCCAACTTTTCTCCAAAAACAAATGTTTCAAAATCAGTCTATACATTAAAAGATGTTAAGGGAAAAGGAAAAGTTGTTACGGAACCAGAAATTTCCTTCAAGGAATTCGAAGCAATTTTGAAAAAAGAGGAAAATAAGTTTATGAAAAAGGTAGCCAGGCAACACGCAAAATCTAAACAAAGGCAAATTCCTTTTAAAGAAAAGAATATCAAAGATAATATAATTGTTGTTTTCAAAATCATGAAAGGAGAGAATTCTACTTTGATAAAGAGATCTTATTTGGTTGACGAAGTTATAACCTTTCCTGTTCTTAAGAAAACCTCACGAGGACCCAAACAAAATTGGGTTCCTAAATCTCTCTGAATTTTTATGTGATTTGTTATGAACATTACAACTCGGAATGATATATTAATAGTGGTTGTTCACGTCACATGACTGGTAGGAGAGAAGAGATGAGGGAATTCCGATCACTGATTACGAATGGCGAATTATCCATTTGGAAGGTAGCTAATATGGAAGGCCTGCAACATAATCTAATTAGTGTGTCTCAATTGGTTATAGGTACCGGTCTGAAAGTTTCATTTGATGATCAGGGATCTGAGATTATTGAGAAGAAATCCTAGACAATGCTTCTAAAATCCAAAAAAACACGAGATGTGTCCTTTGAATCTGAATCCTATCATAGGGAATCCAACCATTTTCCTTTTTACAAAAGCATCTTCGAATGATAGTTGGCTCTGGCACAGAAGGCTCTCGTATCTAAATTTCAAGGATATAAATAAACTAGTGCTAAGTAATCTTGTACGAGGTTTACCTCTTCTGAAGTTTGAGAAGGAACATTTGTGTGCTGCTTGTGAGCTAGGAAAGCAAAGTTGTAAACGTCACTCGACTATAATAAATACCAAAGTAATCGAGCCATCTAGAGCATTGGTGGTAATAAGTATATTCTAGTTGTTGTTGATGATTTTTCAAGATTTACTAGTATTTACTTTCTTAGACAAAAATCAGATAAAACTTCAAAGCTAATGGATTTCATCAAGCTAATCAAGCTTCAATTACGAAAGACCGTTCAGAATGTTCGCAATGATAACGGTTCAATATTAAAAAAACCAAGTGTTTGAAAGATTCCTAACCGAAAAAGGAGTTGCTCACAACTTTTTCGCTCCTTACACTCCTCATCAGAACGGGGTCGTTGAAAGACGAAACCAGTCTCTTTACGAAGTTGTAAGGACCATGTTGTCATTTACGAACCTTCCACTATATTTCTGAGCTGATGCTATCAGAACTGTCTGCTTCACTCAGAATCGATCTCTAATTAATAAGAGATTCTTTATCACTCCTTATGAGATTCTAAATAAACAAAACCCTAACAGTAAGTTCTTTCATATTTTTGGTTCGAGGTGTTTCATATTTAACTCAAAAGAACAATGGAACAAATTCGATGTAAAGGCTGACGAAGGAATCTTTATGAGGCAGTCTCTTACTTCTAAGGCATATAGGGTTCTAAACAAGAAATCCAAAAGGATAGAAGAAACCTATTATATCTCGTTTGATGATAACTATCTCAATAAGTATTAGAAGACTAATTGTCAAGCTGGAGAAATCTTTCCTTCAACAAATACGATGACGATTCCTCTTTTAAATCTTTATGAGGAACTCATGAATTTGTTTGAGGAGCTCGAATAGGCTATTTGTTGTGAATCAAATTCCCTACCTAATAAGGAAGACGAATTGAGGAAAATCAATGACAATGCCGCTAAAGATCTTGGAAATGAGCCACCAATTTCGAAAGGTTCTGAAATTCCACCATCACCACAAGCTCCAAATGCTCATGTTCAAGGGGAGGGTTCCGCTTAAACCTCCACATCCAATACACCTATTCAGGGGGAGAACTCTAATCCCAAAGTCAACATTGACATTCCGATCCAAGGGGAAAATTCGATTCCGAATGTACAGTCACATTCAAATTTTCAGGGGAGAATGAGAATGAAAATGATGACTCACATGCTCAATCGGAATTCGAAGATGTGAATGCAGAATTGGATGCTTCCTACAATCCAAACTACCATCCATTGGCGAAAATAGGCCAAGGATCATCCTAAATCTCAAGTTATTGGAGCAACAACATCTAGAGATTGAACCTAAAACCGTGAAGACTACTCTTGATCATTCTGATTGGGTGCTAGCTATGCCGGAAGAGCTTAATGAGGTTGAAGGTAACAAAGTATGGAGATTGATTCCAACTCCGAAGGATGCATATGTGGTCAGATTAAAATGGGTATTTCGAAACAAGCTTGACAAAGAAGGCAATGTCATTCGAAATAAAGCGTTGTTGGTCGTAAAAGGGTATTGTCAAGAGGAAGGCATTGATTATGAAGAGACATTCGCACCAGTAGCAAGGCTAGAATTTGTTCGGATTTTCCTTGCCTACGCAACTCATAAAATTTTTGAACTCTATTTAATGGATGTGAAATTTGCATTTCTTAATGGTGAATAGGAATAAACAGACTATATGGAATAGCCACCAGGTTTTGTGAATGAGAAATATCGAGAACGTTGATACATTTTAGATAAGGCTGTGTATAGTTTAAAACAAGCATCGTGTATGGAACTCTTACTCATTTCTTAAAGCAATCTAAGTTTAAACAAGGCTCGATCGACCTAACCTTCTTTCACAAGAAAGATGGTGACCATCTGATGATTTTCCAAATTTATCTTGACGATATCATTTTCTGATCTACTAATCCTAAATTAACTGCTGAATTTTAAAAATCGATGGAAATTAAATTTAAGATGAGCTCAATGGATCTAATTAACTTTTTCCTTGGTTTAAATAATAGACAGAGTTCGTAGGTAAAATTTATCAAACAACAAGCCTACACAGTGACCGTACATGCAAAATTTGACATTGTGGGAGATTCAAAGGTGTAGGTTCCAATGGCGTTCTGAACAAAGCTTATACCTTCCTTGGACAGGTTTTAGGCAAATCCTCGCAAACCCCATATGACTGCTGTAAATAACATCTTCTAATACCATATACGAACAACCTCACATGGAATCTGGTACCCATCTAACTCAAGGTTCTTTGTGAAAGCATTCTCTGATGCTGATCTTGGTGTATGCGGTCCTGATCGAAAAAGTACAACTGGAGGATGTCAGTTTCTTGATGGAAAACTTGAAAGTTGGCAATCAAAGAAGCAAACATGCATCTCCTTATCGACTGTTGAAGCTGAGTATATCGTAACTGCATCATGTACTTCTCAAGTGATATGGATTCAAAGTCAGCTTAGAGACTACGGGATAAATATGAAGAAGATCCCTTATACTGTGATTAAGAAAATTCTATTCGCACATGCCACAACCTAGTGCAACATTCCAAGGCTAAAATTATACAACTGAAGTATCATTTTATAAAGGATCACATAGAGGATGGGAATGTGGAACTGCATTTTGTAAGATCCTTTGATCAACTTGCTGATATTTTCTCCAAGTCCCTACTAGAATCGTCAGTCAATCAAATTTTACAAGGGCTTGGAATGATAGAAGTATATTCTGTTCCGAAACCATCTTCATAATCGGAAATCATTGGTTGAGTTTCGAATGGATCTGAGCCTCTTCAGTCACTCAGAATCTATTGATCACATTACGAATTTTCCCGAGCCCTCGGAACACCTCGGAGTCCACTGTTTATCCAGCAATTCATAAATTCTTGTATCCTTCGTATATCTTGGTGGTTATT